AACCCCATTCTCCCAATATAGCATGATCCAAATCTCTTGAGCTTTAAATCCATTTCCTCCTATCTTTCCAAGTGACTGCCTATTCTTGTGACTCAGCTCTATCCTGAGTGATCTCTCATTTTCTACTGTTTCTTTCCCGAGCTAGCAATAACAGGAGAAATTTTCTTTTCTTTTTCTCTTAATTTTTTAGAGATTTATTTATTTATTTATTTATTAATTATTTATTATTTATTTATTTTTTTTTGCTATAAGACGTGCACACTTGCCAGAGAGACATAGAGACAGAAAGTAAGAAATCTTTATGTAACCATTATACCATCTGCTGGCCCCAACAGGAGAAATTTTCTTTTTTAAAAAAAATAATTATTTATTTATTCATTCATTTATTTTAATTTGACCAGAGAGATTCCCAGAGAGAGAGAAAAAAAAAGTGAGAAAGAAAGCCACTAGGTCCAGGACTTGAACCATGATTGGCCATGTGGGAGAGTCTAGCACCTCAACCACCATGCCACCTGCTGGCTGCAAAAGGACAAATCTTCTAATTCTTAGAAGAATAGAGGGTCTGAAGAGGAGGAAGAGATTCCTCAACATGTCTGGCCTTAAGAAGGAATATCACAAAAAAGCCCCACTATCCCTGCAAAGGTGAAACTTCTGATGGCTCATCTCCTGTATCTAAATGATATCTGCATTCTTTCTAGCCATTTTAGATGTCGATTCTAGGAAAGGCAGACAGAATACAATGACACATAATAGATTATTCTCCAAGTATCTGGCTTTTCTCTCTTGCTTTTCTCTCTTCCTCAAAACTATTATTTATTTTGTTGTTTTAGAATTTCTTCACTCCAAGTTTTGTTGTTGTTTATTTATTTCTTCCAAAGAGTAAAACAGACACAGAGAGAGAGACAGTACCACCAACAGGATTTTGACATCATGAGACACCCTAGCCTGAGCCAGCCCCAGACCACTGGCACATGCTTGCTCATTATACTTGGGGGGTCTCCAGATATGAAAATGGAGCCTTCCCACATGGGTTAACCTCACAGAGCAGCATTTTTCTTTTCTTTTCGTCTTCATTTTTTTTAACCATCACTATGCAGCCTTGTTCCGTGTTATTTTTAATGAAGCATCATATGGTTTAATCTAAGACAAAATAAATATCCACCAGAGGGTCACTCAAAGGTTCTTGTTACATGCTCAAAGTATTTACCAACTGCCCAAATATACAAAGCATGCTGGCAATTCATTGTCATTCATGATTTTCCTCTTCCCTTGGTTTTTTATTTTCCAGAGAGATCAAGGCTATAAAATAAATCTCATTTGCCTGAAATGATGGTACCAAATTGGGAATCAAAAAGTCATGATTTATTTTATGTAAAATTATGAAACAAATGACATCTTGGTTCTTTACCTTTTTAGTAAGTTCTGTTTCTTTTATCTTGCAGTTTGATGCTTTACTTGACGACAATTAAAGTATACTTCACGTGCATGTTTTAGGTACCATGAGTGCATATCTCATAGAAAACACAAGATGACATTCTTTTTCATGTTAATTTTTTTCAGATTAATTTCACATTTTACATAAAGTTCCCATCATGATATATACCATATAGTTTTCTTTAACAGAGAACTTAACATTTTTCTGGCAAATGTTTCCTCTCCTTACAACTCCCCCCCCCCCCCCCACTCACTCTCCATCATTCGCTCTTCCCCTTCCCAGTCTCTAGCATCCACACTCATCCTCTCCACCATTATATCACAACCTCTTCCATAGAGTGCAGACACTCAGTACAAATTGAGTGGGGATATGCAATGTGTATCTTTCAAAGTCTGGCTCACCTCGCTCAATATTAAGTGTTCTAACCACTTTGAGTCAAGCAATAGAATCTCATTGTTTCTTATAGCTGAGTAATATTCCATAGTAAATATGTGTCAGTTTTTCAACCTCGACATCAGTTTTGGGACACTTAAGTTGGTTCGATGTTTTAGCAATTGTGACTAATGCTTCAATAAACATGAATGTGCAGTTGTCTTTCTTGTTATGTGTTTTCCTATCCTTTGGGTAAATACTAAAGAGTGGGATTACTGGGACATATGGTTGTTCTATTTGTAGAATTTTTGAAGAACCTGCGTATTTTTTTCCACAGAGGTTGTTTTAATTTAAATTCCTAACAACAGTGTAAGAGGATTCCCTATTCACCACAGCCTCACTAGCACTTGTCATACTTTTTTTTTTTAATCCTCGACATTCTAACTGAGATTAAATAGTATCTCTGTGTTTTAATTTGCATTTTCTTTATGACAAGGACTGCGAGCATTTTTTTTTAGAGTTTTTTTTTTTTCTGTTTTTTGGGGTTTTTTTTTGCATGCACTCGTCAGAAAGACAGAGATAGAGAGAGACAGAGAGACAGAAAGCAAGAATCACTCTCCCAGGGGTCATGGCCACGGCACAATCCTCCTTCATTCTCCTCTCAGGATCCTGGGCACGCACACACACACACGCCCAGCATGAGTTTAAGCCACTGGGTCCAGGACACGAACCGTGGTCAACTACATGGGAGTCCAACAACATAGCCATTATGCTAATTGCTGGTCCCCAGCATTTTTTTCATATACCTATGGACATTTGTAAGTCTTCTTTGGAGAGTTATCTATTCAATTCTTTTGTCCATTTTTTAATTAGTTTCTTCTTTTTTCTATGGATGAGCCACTTGAGTTCCCTGTATATTTTGGGTATCAATCCTTTGTCGGAGGAATAATTTGCAAATATTTTCTCCCACTCTGAGGGTTGTCTTTTCACTCTAATTATTATTTTCTTAGCAGTGAGGAAGCTTTTAAGCTTGATGTATCCCCACTTATCTATTTAGGGGATTATTGCTTCTATTTATCACCTGTTAATTTTCAAGGTGTAGTATTCCCTTAAGTATTCCCTGAAAGGCTGACCTACATTTGGTAAATTCTTTCGGCTTTTGTTTATCTGGGATTGATTTTATTTCTTCTTCTCATCTGAAAGATAATTTTTCCAGATACAGTATTCTTGCCCAAAATTGTTTTTCTTTGAGAGTTTAAATATGTCTTCCCTTTCTTTTCTTGCCTGAATGTTTCATTTGAGAGGTATGCTTAGTCCAATGGGGTCCCTATGTAAATAACTTGGCATTTATCTCTTGTCATTTTTAGAATATTGTCTTTGTCTTTGATTTTTAATACTTTAGCTATGATGTGCCTTGGAGAGGATCTTTTTATGTTAAATCTATTTGCTATTCTTTATATTTTCTGGACTTTGATTTCTGTATAACTCTCTAAATTTGGAAAGTTTTCAACTAATGTATTGTGAAAGAGATTTTTCTAAGCCTTTACCCATCCTTCACCTTCTGGATTACCCATTATGTAGATGTTTGGCCATTTAATGGTGTCCAGGATTTCCCATATATTGTCCTCATTTTTAGTGATTATTTGTACATTCTTTGAGGTTGCTTGGACAAACTTGGAAATTTTGTCTTCAAGATCAGAGATTCTGGGACCAGCAGTTAGTGTAATGGCTATGTCGCTGGACTCCCATGTAGTCAACCGCAGTTTGAGTCCTGGACCTGGTGGCTTAAACTCATGCTGGGTATGTGTGCGTGCGTGCCCAAGATCCCGAGAAGAGAATGAAGGAGAAGGGATTGCGGCATGGCCGTCCCCCCTGGGAGGTGATTTCTCACTTTCTGTCTGTCTCTCTCTGCCTTTCTGGCGAGCGCATGTGCCCTATAGCAAAAACATCTCCAAAAAAGAAAAAGAAAAAAAAAAAAAAGAACAGAGGTTCTTTCTTCTGCATGGTTATCTTCTTTTCCTTGTATTTCATTGAGTTTATTTATGATAAGTATTCTGAATTCTTTTTCTGACATTTCTGCTATTTCTTGTGTTTTACCCATTATTGCTATGGAGTTATCATGTTCCTGCTTTTCTCACACTTCTCATATTTGAGGCTTTGCTGTGATTGTTAGACATCTGGCAATTAATACACTTCTTACTCTTTATTTAGAGTTGGTTTCTATAACTATGTGTACTTGTGCTTCCTTTTGATGTGAATTAGCTCTGTGCCAGAATTCTGTGGCTGTGGTGGTAGTGAGATAACCACAGTGGGAGTTATAAGCTCAGGTTTACATAAAAGAATATCTGTGTTTTTTTTGCTGGGCTGAGTGAGGGAGCAAATTCCTACAGATCCTGTTCATATGTATTGGTTCTTATTTACTCCAAACTTTCTGCTCTTATGTGGCTGAGGGCTGAGCAGAGAGCTAAAATGTAAGGTGGGATGTAGATGATACACAGGGACAGGTATGTGGGGAGAGGTGGGAAAAGGCTCAAGGCTTCTGCGTCCTCTCTGGGTGCACTTCCCACATGCTTACCTCCATGATTCAGATGGGACAATTCAGAAGGAAGCTCTTCTTACACCACAATTCAGGGATTTTTATGGAGACTTCATCACCAGACACGATCAATTATTAACTCAATCTCAAGCCCCTCTCCCCTTGCTGAAAGATTCTGAGTAGGGTGGGCAGTAGGACTGAAAGTTCCAAGCTTCTAATCATGGTTTGGTCTTTCTGATGACTCGTTCCCTCAGGATTCTATCTATAGTCACCTCATCAGAATGAAGAATACTCCTATCATCCAGGAAATTTTAAGACATTAGAAGCTCTGCGTCAGGATCCAAAGTCTAATACTAAAAGCTAAATACTAGAACAAAAGGTTCTCCTATTAACTAGAAATGTGTAAGACTTTTAGTAGTCTGTGCCAGGAACAAGGTATAAAGACCAAAATATATATCTCATACTATAAGTAACAATATCACATATGGATGCACACATTCTGTGTATACTTACATGAGTTCTGCTTCTCTGGGGAATCTCGACTAAACCCGTTTCTCAATTCTGACCTGGCACACCTGCTATCATATTATCTTTTACCCTTTGCTTTCATACAGAAGACCACTGAAATTCCAGTGGAAACCATGTCAACATTCCGTATGAGCTGTATGAATATAAGTATCTCTTATTAATTGCTGTTGATTAGCCAAAAGGCAAATATTTAATTAAACCTTGAGAGATAATAAAATTGCACATGAATTATCTATCTAAGTGCACATAGGTCTGTACGTTTCATTACGATGATAACTAACAATCATCTCTCTTATACCCAGTCTTTGTTTAAGCAGGTTGGTTTTGTTTGTTGTTTTTTTTTTTTATAGGAAAAGTTCCCTAGAGGGATGGTGCTTTTTGTTTTTATTTATTTTTTTAAGTCCTATGTCTGTAGATTTGTATTTATTTTGCTACCCACGCATGTCGCATTTGAAGCACTGCTGATAACATCACAGAACATCTTGTCTGTTATCCTTGACTGTGTGTACACAAGAGTAATCAGTGACCCTTCTGAATAACAATGAAGTCTCTTAAGGTAGATGAACAAAATTCAGTTTTGTGGGTTTTTTTTTAAATTTTTTGTTTGCTTGTTTTAAAATTTATTTATTCCATAAGAGAGAGATAATACCCCCCAATCGAGTCTTGACACTGTAATCCACTGCCTTCCTCAGCCAGCCTGGATCATCAGCACATGCACCTGGCAGGGAGGTCCCAGGAATTGAACCAGCATCCTCCCCATATGGGTCTGCCTCAGAGGGGGTTGCATTTACCACTGCATATCCAGACTTTGTTGTCATATATGTTTCTGTTTCCTGGAGTTTTTCTTGGTTCTACTGTCTGTGGATTTACACAGGGCAAAGGAATAACTCTTAGTGTTGACTGAGTAGTTTTGGATATTTACTTCAAATAGAGGTATTGTTATTGTTATTTAAAGAAGCAACACCAACAAAAAACATTTCTACTGTGCTCCACCTGGACTAAACAGAAGTAGCTATACAATCTCTAATACAGGCCTTGTGAGATCGTTAACTGAAGAGGAGGGGGCAAGAGATTTCTAGAGGCGGTTGCCAAGACCAAGTGATCAACAACAGGGGTCAAAGCATGCCTGAAAGAAAAGTAAGGACACAGCCACTTTAAGTTATGCTGAAATTATGACATTTCTATATTCTTTTCACATATGTCCTGTTTTATGATGGTGACAGTTAATGTTGGTGGTGAGGAGGAGGTGGACAGTGGCACAGTGGTAAAACTTGACATCCTGTGAGGCCGACTCACCTGAGAGGGTTCTAGGTTCCGATCTGGAGACCTCCCTGAATATGCCAGGCATACGTGTGCCCATGATCCAGGGCTGGCTGGATTGTGGCATAAAGATCCTGTTGGTGGTATTGGTACTACCTATCTCTCTCTGTCTCGACCATAGAAAAAGGAAATAAACTTTTATTTGTTAAGATTTTTGCATAGTGTGCATGCACTCATCAGAGAGGAGAGAGACCGTGAGAAGAAAAGTAGGAAATCATGTTTCTGTTTCCTGGAGTTTTTCTTGGTTCTACTGTCTGTGGATTTACACAGGGCAAAGGAATAACTCTTAGTGTTGACTGAGTAGTTTTGGATATTTACTTCAAATAGAGGTATTGTTATTGTTATTTAAAGAAGCAACACCAACAAAAAACATTTCTACTGTGCTCCACCTGGACTAAACAGAAGTAGCTATACAATCTCTAATACAGGCCTTGTGAGATCGTTAACTGAAGAGGAGGGGGCAAGAGATTTCTAGAGGCGGTTGCCAAGACCAAGTGATCAACAACAGGGGTCAAAGCATGCCTGAAAGAAAAGTAAGGACACAGCCACTTTAAGTTATGCTGAAATTATGACATTTCTATATTCTTTTCACATATGTCCTGTTTTATGATGGTGACAGTTAATGTTGGTGGTGAGGAGGAGGTGGACAGTGGCACAGTGGTAAAACTTGACATCCTGTGAGGCCGACTCACCTGAGAGGGTTCTAGGTTCCGATCTGGAGACCTCCCTGAATATGCCAGGCATACGTGTGCCCATGATCCAGGGCTGGCTGGATTGTGGCATAAAGATCCTGTTGGTGGTATTGGTACTACCTATCTCTCTCTGTCTCGACCATAGAAAAAGGAAATAAACTTTTATTTGTTAAGATTTTTGCATAGTGTGCATGCACTCATCAGAGAGGAGAGAGACCGTGAGAAGAAAAGTAGGAAATCACCCCCTGGGGGGATGGCCATGCCATAATCCAGAAGGAAATGAATTTTTTTAAAAGGTGTGCATAGACTTAGAAGTGGCTTCTTGTCTTTCTCAAGTATCTGCCTGGTCTAGCCCACCTGTTTCTGCTCTAGCTCTGTCATATCCATCAGGGTGACTCCGAAGTCCTACAAGGTATCCACCTCCAGCTCCTGGCCCACCTCTAGCAGTCACTTGTCCACAAGCTCACCTGGCACCCACATCAGCTCCTCCAGTTTCTCCTGGGTGGGCAGTAGCAGCAGCTTCCATGGTGGGGTGGTCTGGGTACTGGCATAGGTCTGGGTCTAGACTACAGTGGGTCTGGTGGTGGTGCCAGGGATATCAGGGTCAACTAGAACCTGCTGAGCCTCTTTAAACTGAATATGTGCCCCAACATCCAGGCCTTGCACACTCAGAAGAAGGAGATTAAGAAGATTAACATCCTCAACAAATTTGCCTCCTTCATCGACAAGGTGTAGTTGCTGAAGCAGCAGAATAAGAGGCTGGAGAGCAAATGGGGCCTTCTGCAGCTGAAGATGGCTGCAAGCCACGTGGAGGACAAGTTGGAGAGCTACATCAACAACCTGTGGTGGCAGCTGGACACCCGGGGCCAGGAGAAGTTGAAGCTAAAGGCAGAGCTAGGCAATATGCAGGGGCTGGTGGAGGATTTCAAGTACCAGGATGAGTTCAACAAGCATAGGAAGATCCAGAATGAGTTCACCCTCATCCAGAAGGATATAGATGAAGCTTACACAAACAAGGTAGAGCTGGCATCTCTCCTGGAAGGGCTGACAGATGAAATCAGCTTCCTTAGGCAGCTGTACGAAGAGGAGATCTAAGAGCTGCAGTCCCAGATCTCAGACGCGTCCGTGGTCCTGTCCATGCATAACAGCCACTCCCTGGACGTGGACCCCATCATCGCAGAGATTGCGCCAGTAAGAGGAGACCACCAACCGCAGCCAGGCTGAGGCGGAGAGCATGTACCAGAGGAGCTGAAGATGCTGGCTGGGAAGCATGGGGATGACCTGCATCGCACAAAGACAGACATCTCCGAGATGAACCAGAACAATAGCCGGCTCCAGGCTGAGATTGAGGACCTCAAAGGCCAGTGAACTTTTCTGGTGGCCGCCATCACTGATGCTGAGCAACTGGGGGAGCTGGCCATTAAGGACGCCAATGCTGAGACCAGCAGATGGTGTAATGGTTATCTCACTGGCCTCCCACATAGTCAACCACGGTTGGATTAGTCCCAGACCAGTGACTTAAAACTCACTCAGGGCGAGTACGTGTGTGGGTGAGTGTGAGTGCCCAAGATCCCGAAAGGAGAATGGAGGAGAAAGAATTATGGTTGGCCACTTCCCCTGGCGCTTTCTTTCTCTGTCTCTTGCTGTCTCTCTGGCAATCACACATGCCCTATTGCAAACATCTCTCTAAAAAATAAAAACAAAAAAGAACACCAACACTGAGCCAAACAGGACACAGTACAGCAGCTGCACAAGTACCAGGAACTCATAAATGTCAAGCTGACCCTGGACATCAAGCTGCAAAGAGAGCCAGCTGGAGTCTGGGATGCAGAACACAGTATCATAGGAAGACTACCAGTGGCTACTCAGGTGGGCTCACCTCAGTCTCCCGGGGCCTCATAAATACTGGTCTCTACTGCCTGAGCACCTTCTAGTCCAGCTTTGGCTCTGGTAGAGGTTCCAGCTCCTTTAACCATATCAGCTCCACCAAGGCCATGGTCCTGAGGCACACAGAGGTCAGCAGGTAGCAGTGGTGGTGGTAACGATGCTGGATCCCTACATGGCTGAGCATGGTTCCAATTGGACCTGCCTGGCGGCTTTAAAATCACTCTAGATGCATGTGCCTGGGAGCCAAAAAATCTCAGGAGGAGAATGGAGGAGAAGGGATTGTAGTAGTGGTCATCCACCTGGGGGGGGGTAATTTCTCACTTTCCCTCTCACTGTTTCTCTCTTTCTTTCCCCAGCAAGTGTATGCACCCTATGGAAAAAAAAAAATTGGACTCGCCATGGGAAGCTGGTAAGTCCTCTGACATTCTGCTCAAGTGAACAGCCATCGCAGCCCCTCCTCACCTGCCCTTCCCTGTGGCTTACCCAGGTGTGGAAAGCTATCGTGCAGGGGAGTGTGAGGAATAGGAAACCTACCTGAGGCTCGGCAGCTCACCATGAGAGCCTGGGATCCCCTCTCTTGCCCAAGCCCCCAACTAAAAACCAATTCACTTATCTTTACCCATAAAGCCTCAGCTGGCTCTGCCAATCTAAAAAAAAAGAAAAAACAAAACAAAACAAAACAAACAAACAAAAAAACTGTGCATGTATTTTTTAAAATGATCTCACCACAATTAAACGTTTGCAGCTCTATGTTGGTTTTACTCTTTCTTTTTGAAATCTTCT